GGGAGCCAGAGAAGGGGGTCCCGCCCTCCCCTCCCGCCCTGGAGGCTTACACACTTCTCCTGAAGGAGGCAAAATAAGTATGAGAGAAGGCCAGGTCCCCCCGCAAGGGCTGGGACTAGGAAGGAGGGACAGGGAGACAGAAAGAGAGAAAACGAGGCAGAGAGAGAGAGTGAGAGACAGAAGGTCCTGCCCGAGCTCAGAGAGGAGCTTCCTCAGGTGTCTGGCGGGTGGAGTCGCCCATGGCGGCACCAGGGCTGGCCCCACCGGGAGGACACCCGGGGTGGGGGGTACCAACTGGACCCAGTTGGGGTGGGCAGAAGAAGGGGCCGAGCGGGGAGGGCGGGTCACATAAGTATGGTACAGGTGAGAACAAAGTGTGAGTTAGGGGTTAGCATTGGTAACAGTGCGTTTACCTTTCTGCTCCACTTCTACTTTAAGCATCGGAAGAGAGAGAGAAAACAAATTGAAAAAAAAATGTGCAAGAAAAAAAAAGAGAAAAAAAAAGATTAAATTGCTTTCGTTTCTTATCTGGCAACATGCCCCCTTTTCCTTTCTTTCCTCATCCTGGTTTCCCAACCCCGAACGAACGTAGCATCAGCTCAGCCCCCGCCCCCAAGTCCCTGCCTCTGGGGAGGGTGTCGGGGAGACAGTCACAGGGAGGGGGAGACACGCGAGGACAGAGACCAAGAGAGACATGGGGGGTGTGTGTACAAACAGGCAGGTGGACATAACCCTCAGATGGGTGGGGGCACCTTCAGGGCAGTGGGGGCTGGGGAGGGGGGAGCTTCAGCTGGAAGGTGGGCTCTGGTTAGGGGAGCACCAGGGAGGGAGTGGTAGGGGTGGAAGAGCCACACAGTCCCCCCCACCTCTGCACAACCCACCTGCTGCCCTCCTGCTAGAACCAGGGGCCTGGTGGGGGGAGGGGGTTCAGTGCCTCCAGGGGCCTGGGCGCCCCCAGCTGAAGGAACATGCTGAACTCCTTCCCTTTCTGTGCTGGCCTTGCTAGGGTCCAGCTGAGTTCCCCCAAGCCCTCACAACCCAGAAAAAGCCAACACAGAGAGGGCGGCAGAGTGGGACACAGGATGACAGGCAGCGCCCCTGGGCCTCAGAGAGCCGGGTGGGGGAGACAAAGGCAGAGAAGGAAGAGGCTGGGTGGGGGGGACATCACAGACAGGTGGGGGCACAGACACGCTCCCCCGCTCCCCCGGGGCCAGCCTGTGGCTCAGTTTGCTCCCCCGCCCGCCCCCCTGGGGGCCCAGGAGCCAGGCGCTCCCTGCCTGCTGCCAGGTGGGCAGGCGCACCTAGGGGAGGAAGGGGGCACGGTTAGAATGTGCTCAGCTGCAAGGCAAATCCAGCGTTAGTCGGGCCTGTCTGGGTGTGTTTGTGTGTGTGTGGGGGGAGGCCCACACACCCACTGCCCCTCCCCGCGGTGGGCCCCTGCACCCACCCGACTCGCCCGCACCAGCACTGGGGGCACCCCAGCCTCTGAAGCTCAGGGCAAGATGGCTGCCCAGGCTGCTCCCCCTTCGGGCTCTGTGTCGCCGGCCCCTCGGACACCTCTGACCAGGACCTCGCTCTCCTGCCACCTCTCTAGAGGCGCAAGCAGGGAGTTCCACGGGGGAGAGTTTGGCTGCTTCCCAGCGCCTCATCCAGGGCCTGGCACACAGGAAGTGCTCAGCGAACACGAACAGTGGGGACAAGTGAGCGCCCCGCCTCCCTGTTCTCTGGCCCTAGCTTCCGTCACCCTTGAACTCCAGTTCCCCTTCCTCTGGAACCAGGAGCTACAGCCCCTCAGCCCTGGGTTCTGCCTGTCGAGGGCACGCGTGGCCCCCCGTGTCCCAGATACAGTCACTGTGTGTCCTGCCTCCCCCGGGGCTCAGGCTCGCTCTCGGTCAGACAGGGGCTGCCCATCCCCTGGGCCATCCTGGTCTCCGTGGGTCACGCCCCTGGCCCACACTGGGGGTGGGGGGTCAGCTTCAGGAGGTCCCTATGCCTCTTGCCTCCCTGCGCCCTCTAACTTTTGTCTTGCTTCTTTACCCGCATGGTGTCCACTTGCTTTGGACTCCACTTGGACCAAGGGACGCTCTTCCTGCCCTTTATCTCACCTGTCTCAGGAGGAGTGTGATCCTCATCTGTCATTAGTTTTATTTTTTATTTCCAACAGCAATAACTGGTAAAAATCACTACAAGTAGTCACAACAAAAGCAATGACCACCAGGTGCCTTCTGCTTCCTAAGTGACTAAGTGCTAGGAACCATGGTAGGTACTTCCCAGGCAGGCTTTCCAGAACCCTGTCTATAGACGGGGAAACTGAGGCTCAGGGAAGTGAAGCAACACAACTGAGTCCACACAGTTGGCAAAAGTGGGCACCGTTTCTCTCGTATGTACCTACGGCGTGGGGCGCACGAGGAGCTTTACCCACGTTCTCTCTGCTCCTGGCAGCATCCCCCGGAAGGGATCCCCCCTCCCACCGTCACAGATGAAGACACGGGCTAAGGTGGCTTCGAGGGGCACCCATACCGTTACTGAGCACGTCCTGAACCAGGCTCGGGTCTGGGCGCTGGGGGGTGAGGACGAAGCCTCTGCCCTGGGGGGCGTTTACATCCAGCACTCTGCCGCAGGCAGTGGGCTCGGGGGCCAGCCCTGGGCCAGGCGCGTCACACGCATGCTGTCCTGGCCTCTCGCCTCCTTTTGCAGCAGCTCGGAGAAGTTTAAGTCATTTGCTCAAGTTTCAGAGTCAGAAAATCCGAGAGCCAGGCCGAGCCTCAAACCCAGCCTGACTTCCCTGCCGTGCAATGCTCCCGGCCTCCCGCCTCCCTTCCCTGCCGCCCCGGCCACGGGGGTGGGTGGAGAGTGTCCCCAGTGCTGTGGGGAGGCTTCAAGGCTCAGATGGGCATCCCCCTCAGGTGGCGGCTGGAGGCCTCAGCTGCTGAAAGGAACGGGTGAGGAGTAAAAGAAGGTTATGGAAGCACACAAGTGATCCTGCTTCCCCCAGCACGTAGGTCATCACCTGCAAGGAGAAATCAAAGGTTGAGGGGGGAGGCTGGGGTGGGAGGGCCACAGGGCCTTCTGCTCCCCTGCCCCTGCCCCCCACACTCAGACACTCTGGTGGCCCTGCCTCCTCCCCCATCTGCCCGGAGGCCCTACCTCCAGGTTGGCTACATGAAGCTGGCAGGGAGAGGAGGGGAATGGATGGTGGGGAAGAAGGGAAGGGACAGTGAGGGCAGGAAAGAAGGGCCATGTTAAGAGCATAGTGCTGAGGAGGAGAGACCCTGTCTTTGTTGTTCCCCTTGGCCAGATGCAAGAAAGCCAGGCCCCTGGCTCCCCAGATCACCCTCCTCAGGCTTCCTGGGGGCCACCCTAGTCCAACATGGCAGCGCTTCCCTTGCAGACAGGAAGTGCTATCGCGGTCATGGGCACACTAACCAGGAGATAGGTATCTGTGGAAGACGCCCCTAGCCCCTCACACCAGATCTGCCGCCAGGCCTCAGAGGGCAGTCTGCCTCTCCATGGGTTTGGAGTCCAGCTTCCAGGACTGGGAAGCGGCAGGACTGGGAGCACATGAGAGGTGAGGGGGGACAAGAGAAAGGAGAGGGAGTTGAGAAAAGAAGGGGAGTGAGTAAGAGGGAAGAGTGGGCACCAAGTAAGAGGGTAGAGAGGTTGGAGGGCAGCAAGGTCCAGGTCCAGGGAACCAGGAGACAGACAGGTGCACCAAGCAAGTTCTGGGGTGTGGCCTTGAAGGGTGTAAATGAGCCCTTCTACATGTGAAGGGGCAGGGCTAGTGGGCCAGGGTAACAAGAGTGGGAGAAGGTGGCCTGTGAATGGGGACAGAACCTGTGGGGGGTAGGGTGGGGCAGGGACTGACTGTGGAGGGGGGGTCTGGGAGGAGAGAATGTGTGAGGGAGGGAGCAGGCCCGGCTGCCCCTCCCCCCCCACCCGTGCCTGGTCCTAACTTGGCCCTATGTGTGTGTGTGTGTGTGTAAGGTCAAGGTGTCTCCTCCTCGCTTGCTTCTGGGAGGGGGAAGGGCCCGTGTCCGCACGAGGAACAAGATGACTCACTGTAGGGGACACAGTCGTACTGCACCTCCAGGTACTTGTAGGTCCCAGGACAGGGGTCGGGAAAGGCGTCCGAGCCAGCAACCACCACGCACTGGGTGCGGTTGTTACACCTGCAGAGAAGACACGAGGAGCTGGGAAAAGACCGGCCTAGAACTGGGGGGCGGGGGCGGACATTCAGGGTCAGGAGAGGAATGAGCACTCCCAAATGGAGACGGAACTGGGGCGACCAAGGCCAGGGGCCTTGTGGGGGCATCATCTTCTGTGTCCTGCCTGCTCTCTTTCGCACCAGCCAGGCTTCGACTCTGGGCCCCCGCCAGGCAGCAAGCTCAGGGCTGGGCCAGAGGCTCTGCCCCATAAACTGTGTCCCCAGCTCCCCGGCCTCACAGCCCATCTGCGTGTCACTGATGCCATCGTGTCCTTGGCATCTGTCCTAAATGGGCTGGAAAGCCCCTCGCCGTTCATTGAAGAGTAAGACACGAAGGCATGCGTACAAGGCGGTGTCTTAGCCAACATGCTGCTAATGGGATGCTCACGGTGCCCGTCTGTGTCCCTCCCCCCCGCCCCCGGCCGGGCCTTAGACGGGTCCCGCGCTCTGGGTGGAGCTGCTGCGAGGATCTGCAGTGAGGACGGGGCAGTCTCTTCCCCTCACGCCCAAGCCATTCTCACCACCCCCCGCCCCCGGGGACTCGGAGTCCCCGCCAACTTCTAGGAGCCTGGCTAACATATAAAGGGAGGCCTACGTACGAACAAAAAGATGTTTCTCCTCTGCCGTCTGTCTCTCCGATCGAGGGCTCTGGGCCCTAGCACAGGGCCAGGACGTTAGTTAACGAGGGTTTGCTCCTACCCGCCCACCTCAACCCCCTCCTTTAAAACCTCAGCCCTGGCCTCTGAAGGTGAAGCAGAGAGTTGCCTATGACCCAGCAGCTGCATCCCTAGCTTTGTTCACCAAGGACCCGGAAGCAGGGGCTCAAACAACTGCTCGTTCGTGAATGTTCTCTGCGACGTCATTTACACAGTTGCCAAAAGGTGGGGACAACCCAAGTGTCCACTGACAGAGGAATGGCTAAGCAATGTGGTCCGTCCACACCGTGGAATATTATTTGGCCATCAGAAGGAAAGCTCTGATGGGCCACAGCATGGGCAAGTCCCGAAGACACCGTGGAGCATGAGAAGTCAGGCAGAGAAGGCCCCGTTTCATGATCCTATCCGTACGAAATGTCTGCGGCGGGCCGGGCCGCAGCGACAGAAAGCAGATTAGTGGCTGCCCAGGGCTGGGGGAGGGGAGGGTGGGGGTCACAGCTCACGGGGATGGCATTTCCCGTCGGGAAGATGGAAATGTTCTGGAACTAGAGAGAGGTGGTGGTTGCGCCACGCTGCGAATGTACTAACTATCGCTGAATCGTTCGCTTTAAAATGACGAATGTGTTATGTGACTGTCACCTCAACATCCAGAAGAGACAAGGGCTGGACACCGCGCGTCCCAGCCTCCCCTGCAGCTGACTATTCGTGACCGAGTTCCGGCCAGGGAGGTGGGAATGGGCCCGAGGTGGCCTTTAAAAGGGCTGGGTGCGGGAGCCCCCGAGAGAGGGAAGCGACGGCTGAGGGTCTCTCCCTCCGATCTGGTTTAAGGTCACTCTGCCTATTCTGGGGTGTCTCCGTCAGAGCAGCAGGGCTGTACCCCAACTAACATGAAGAGCCTCGCCTCCAGGCTTTAAGGTGGCAGAGCGGCGGCCTCTCACTCCCTGGGCCCCCGGAACCACACTGTTCAGCATTCCCCCTTTTGGGACCGAGAGCCCACGAATGCCAGAGCCGAGCGAGTTGCTGTGCTGGCCGCTGGGGAGACCGTGGCACACCCCGCAGACCCCGAGGCCGGGGCTGAAGGCATGAGGTGGGCAGGGAGAAAGCTGGAGACAGGAGGTGGGAGGAAGGGGAGTCCCAAGGGGGACGGGGCACAGCCTAAGCAAAGGCCGGGAAGCTGGATTAGGGGCTCTCATGCAGGGGTGTCAGACAGGGAAGGGGGAGGAGGGCGAGGACTGCTGGAGGGGCGCATGTTTGAGGGAGAAAAGGTGGGGGACAGGGAACGAGGTGGCTCCAATTTGGCCCACTGGTCTGAGCCACCTGACCACACCGGTCCCCTGCCCAAAACTCTCTGGACGTTCTCCGTGACCCTGCCCAGTGCCTTATTCTAGAATCCTCGGCCAGCATTCAAGGAGCTGCAGAGCTTGCTCCAGCCCTCCTCTCCTTCTTCCGTTCTACGCTCTGGGTCCTGGAGGGAACCTTGCCCTCTCTCGGGCGTTTAGCAAAAACTCAGTGAGTGCCTGCTGTGCATCTGGCCGGGGACCAGCGCCCTGTCCCCATGGGGCTGATGGCCCCACGAGGAAAGACAAACATGATAAAGAGGCAAAATATTCCACAGAACTGTGGATGGTAATCAGGGCTAGAAGATAAAGCAGGGAAGGGGCTAGGAAGTCGGGGTGGGGGGGCTGCGATTTTAGAGAGGGTGGTCAGACAGGCCTTGCCGAGAGGATAGTCCGGTAAGAAGATCCACGGGCAAGGGAAGGGGTGAGCCATGTGGGTGTCGGGGAATAGCATTCCAGACAGGGGGAACGGCCGGTGCAAAGACCCAGAGGAGGCCGTGGCGGACGATGGCGGCTGGAGCCGGCTGAGTGGGGGGGAGCGTGGAGACGGGGAGGCCAGGAGCAGAGCACAGGGCAGAGCGCGCGCGTGCGGGGCCTTGTGGGCCTAGGGGAGACAGGCTTTTGCTCTGAGCGAGGTGGGTGCCCCTCAGGTGTTCACAGGCACCCCCTGGCTGCTGTGCGGGGGACAGCCCGAGGCAGGCAAGTCGGGGCAGGAGACAGTGCGGCAAGCCCGGGGGGGTGGCGGCGCCAGGGGCGGTTAAATCTGGGTGCACCGCGGAGGAGGAGCTGACCAGCTCTGAGTGGCCGGCGGTGGGTGTGAGGAAGGCTTTTGCAGCTTCGCACGCGCGGTCCCTCTGCCTGGCATCCCCCCCCCACTCACACACACAGCCTCGCACACTCACTCACTTTTTCTCTCACGCTCACGTGCACTTCTGTCATCTGTGTTCAGACGTCACCTGCTCCGGGAAGCCTGCGTGACCTCTGGGCTCTCCCTCAGCTCCCGTGACACTTTCCCCCTGTCCTGCTAATTGCTTTTACACTGCGAGACCTCCACGCCCTCCCCCACGAATCCTGGGACGAGCTTCTGGAGGTGCCTAGTGGGTGCGGGCTGCCGGGGAAGAGGGGCTGGGTCTTCCCGGCTGTGTGCATGGGACCTGGCGCCTAGCGGGTGCTCAGGAAACAGGGGCCGGACGCCTAGAAGGAAGGCGGAGGGGGAACAGGGTGCCGGGCCAGGGGCCGCGTGGAGGACGGGCATTTACCCAGGGCCCCCAGGAACCGCCTGCGGCCCTCCTCCCAGGAGCCCGGTGGGGTGGGGCCCCTCACCTCTGTGACATGATCTTGAAGGCGTCGGGCAGGTAGCACTGCACGTTCTCCATCTGGAAAGGGTCGGCATCACAGATCTTGTCGTCTGTGCGTCCATAGTTGGCGTTCTCCACCATGATGACATCGCTGCCTGGGCACCGCAGCTCGATGGGGTAGCCTTCGCACGCCAGCTCCCGGCGCATCAGCCCGAACGGGAGCCCGGCCCGGCTCAGGCCTACGGGGAGGGAAGACCCCGCTGAGGAGAAGCCCCCTCCAGCTTGGCTGTATCCGGACCTCCGTTCTTCCATCTGTCAAATGGGCTTCTCGGTGTGCCCACCTGTGCAGTCAGGTCTTTGCCCTCGGCTCCTGGGAGGTGCCTCTAAGCACTGGGGGTGTCCTGCCCGACGAGCGTCTTTGTCTACCTGGGGGCCTCGGGCCAGGCCAGATGGCCTATACTCCTGTGATGGGTTGAACTGTGTCCTCCCCACCTCAAATTCATATGCTGAAGTTCCGATCCCTCGTACCTCAGAGCGGGACCCAATTTGAAACAGAGGTGATCAAGTTGAAATGAGGCCGTTAAGGCAGGCCCTAATCCAGTATGACCAATGTCCCATAAAAAGGGGAAATTTGGACACAGAGACACACACAAAGGGAAGACGGTGTGGAGACACAGGGAAAGATGGCCAGCTGCAAGCCCAGGAGAGGGCCTGGAACAGCAGCTTCCCTCACGGCCCTCAGAAGGAGCCGACCCTGCTGACCCCTTGGTCTTGAACTCCCAGCCCCTAGACCTGTAGGGCAATACAATTCTGTTGTCGAAGGCCCCCAGCCTGTGGTCCTTTGTTACAGCGGCCGTAGCAAATGAGCACACCAACGATGAGAGTAGGAGCTTTTGGGTATCAGCCGACCTCCAGAAGGGCTGGGGACTGAGGTCAGTCATGTGGGTGGTCACCCGTGTCTACTCTGGACCCCGAGGCCCAGGGGAGCGAACCGGGTTGGCAGCGCACCACGCATGCGGTCACACACCTGTCCCCTCGGCTGACGTTATCTGTAACCGCTCACCGTACCGACCTGTCCCCGTGAGTATAACAGCATTTGGGAATTCTGGGAATGCTTCTAGGGAATCATCAAATCTGAGGGTGGTCTAAAGGACTCCCGAACTTGTAACTGGTGTCAGAGGGGAGAGTGGTCTGGGCTCCCTCCCTAACTTCACACCACCCCATGCAAGGGGGAGAGACGGCTCGGGAGGAAACGCTCTCACATCCTGAAGGAACCCCCAGCGCCCGGCCTGGCCTCTCCTCAGCCGGCAGGCCTGGCACATCCGTGGGGCCAGAGCTTCCCAGCGGGGCCTGGGGGTCAGCAGCACTGGCGGTGTGCAGCTCCCCACCCCCAGGCCTGCTGACTCAGGATCTCCAGGGGGCGGCCAGGCGCCTCGGACCCGTGTGCCCACCCACGTTTCTGACGCGCACTCGGCTTGAACAGCCAGCTCTAGCCTCCTCGGGCCTCCGTCCCCAGTGTACGATCAGCACGGACAGCCCAGGGCTCCGCGTCGAGGAGTCCACGCGCTACAGAACGTTCCCGAAGGAAGCCCCGGCCGTGGCGCCCTGTGTGGTGAGGGTCAGTGTGACGATGAAGGACACGCCCGGTGGGGTTGCCCGGTCACACGTCAACCCCCCTCCCATGCCGTGTGAGGACCCACAGCTCCGGCTCTGGAGCCAGACAGCCGGGGTTTAAACCCCCCGCCGGCGGCCTCGTCTGGTAGCCGACCACCCCTGTGGCCCCGGTTCCTTCTCCCAGGAGCTGCTGCTCCCACCTCACAGCACCGGGACGGCTGCAGCGGGCGCGAGGGCCCCCCCACAGTTACATCTGGACAAAGGCCAAACGGGGACAGTGAGGTGAGGGGAGCTGAGTCCACTATCATTAAGGTTATCGAGGGGCGCCGGGGGGGCTCAGGCGGCTGAGCGTCTGCCTTCGGCTCAGGTCATGATCTCGGGGTTCCGGGATCGAGCCCCGTGTTGGGCTCCGCGCTCAGTGGGGAGTCTGCTTGAGATTCTCTCCCTCTCCCGCTCGTGCTCCCTCTTTCTCTCTCCAATAAATAAATAAAACCTTAAAAAAAAAATGACTGAGGCAGCCAGCCTCTACAGGACAGAGTGGGCTCCGCGTGGTCCACAGCTGCCGGGTCAGCCACCTTCTTAGACGCGGGTCCCAGCCAGGCCTCGCGGGGTGCTGGCGGGGGAGTGGGGACACGCAGAGGGACTCACAGGCTCCGATGTGCGGACTATGGCTTGTGGGTACAGAGAAGTAGGGGTGCCCTAGGGCAGCAGTGCCAAGCAGACCCCTTTCAGAGATCTGCTCCCTCCACTATCAGGTGGGGGGCCCCAGGGGGATGGCAGCTAGGCCCCGGGGGTTTTTTGGGGTGAGTTGAGTCTCACTTGGGGGAAAGTATTACATGTGTTCCTCTAACACCATCTGCTTCCACAGCTAATTTTAGTCCTTCCCGGGCCTGGGAGGGAGGCCGGGGGTGGAGGGCTGGCTCAGATGGGTCTGGGGGTGGAAGTGGCCCCTCCCGGCCCAGCTGGGGCAGTGGGACAGGACCTGGATGGGCAGAGAACGTGGGCACTGGGGGAGCAGAAGGCGTCAGCTGCCCCGAGCAGGGCAAAGGCCCCGGGGCCTGGCGGAGCAATGTCCCCTCCACCTCTGTGGCTTTCGGGAGTATTGGGCTAGTGAAGGGACACTGGGGAGCAGAGTCCCCCAGCAGTGCTCTCCAGACAGAGCTCGGGGTTTGCCGGCTGGGGGCATGCCCAGGGCTAGGGGCAAGGCCAGCAGGCCCCTTCTTTCTGCCTGTCCTCTTGCCCTGCCCTTGCCCCCGCCTGGGCCCGCCGCGGGGACCATAATTGAGTGATTGGTGGAGGTGGGCAGGCAGGCTTGGGGCACTAAATTGTTGCATGTACAGGATCCTGGGGCCGGCATAGGGCCGGGCCGCGTAATTAGTTGTTTTTAAATAAACGTCAGCGGGCATGCTTTAATTAAGCCTTCTTCCCAGCGAGAGCCTCAGAGATGTAATCACAGAGAAAGACACACACATAAGACAGGGGAGTATCGCTCACCGGGAAGGCCCGTCCTGGTCCCAGGAGGCCACAGCCCGCATCCCAGGCTCCAGGACCCCTGGCAGGATGGGCCCTGCTGCCCCGGGTGTTGGGGGTGAGGGGCTGGTCCAGGGACCCCTCAGTGGTGCTGGGAGGTGGCGATTACCAAGTCTTCTTCTGGCTTGGTTCCGCCGCGGCCTGGGGCGAGCTGGGGACTGCAGTTCTTCACCAAGTGCATGGGAGGTATTTCAACATTTTCTCTGCCCTCCCAGCTGCATTTTGGAGGCACGGCTCCTCTCCAGCCCCAGCAGCACCTACCTTGGGTGGCCGAAGTGACCAGGACGGCGGTGATGCAGAGACTCCAGAGCACTGCGGCCAGGCGGGCCATGGCGGCGGCCAGGGGCGTGTTCGGGGCGCTCAGTGTCCTGTGCCGGGGGCCTTGCCCCGCATCAGCAGGTGGGCGCCACGGCCTGGCCCACCAGCCTGGGGAGAACAGGGAGAGTGAGGCGGGGGCAAGGCCCCAGCAGGCCCAGGAGGAGAGGCATTTGGGCAGGTCCCCTCTCCTCCTCCTGGTGGCTGAGGGCTTATCCCCGAGAGGGGCCAGTCAAGGTACCTCCCCCCGAGCCAGCTGTATGGGACTGAAGCTGCACCCTGGCCGCCCCTCCAGGCCCTCTGGCCTACACTGCCAACTCCCACCCCCAGCTGGCAGACAGACCCACCCATCTGGGCACGTTGGACCAAAGGGGACCTCCTGGAAGCTCCTCCCGTGGTCTCACAGCGCCTCCTCGGGTAGCAGGGGCAGGTCACCAGGATGTCATGGCTGTGAAGGGCCTGCCCGCATCCAGGCAGGCCTCAGACCCTCTCTCACGAGAGATAAAGGCCTTCTGGAAGCCTCTTCTCCATCCCCAAATCCCAACCCTGCCCACTTGTCTCCCTGACCTGGCTTCCTCACCCAGCACTGCGGGGCGGGGGTGTCCAGGCATCCCGGCCTTGAACTGGCAGCCTCCCAGCCTTGGGCAGGAGTCCAGGCCCCGCCCCCAGCCCTTGCTTCCTGTCTCTCCCTCTCTGGTAGCTAATTAGAATCCAGCTGGCTGGCGCCACAGATCAGGGACCAGGGACAACTGAGTCCTCTCTTTCCCCTCTGGGGGGACCCTCGAGGTAAGCTGGAGACAGGCAGGCGGGGGTAAGGGAGGGGTGTGCGGTCCCCTAGGGGGCCGGGATGGGGGACTGGCATTGTGTGCTCTCCCCTGCAATCCTCCCACCCATCTGCCCGTCCCTGGGCACTGCAACTCCGCGGGCACAGGGCTCCGTGCTGGCCCATTTCCTCCCCTCTCAGCTGCTCCTCCCTTCTCCCTTCCGGTCTCCCCTGGATGCTCTCTGCGTTGCAAATCCAGATCTCTGCCCCCGGCCCTTTGCTTTATCTGCCCCGCGGTTCTCAAGAGTGGCCCTGACCCAGTGGCGCCAGCATGGCCATGAACTTCTGCAAACACACATTCTCTGGGGAGGGCCAGCATCTGGGTTTTTGCCGGCCCTCCAGAGTATGAACACCCACTTACTCGGTCTTCCCTCGCCGCCACCCCAGTCTGTCCCATAGTTTCAATGCCATTAACCAACAAATACCTTCCGTATCTCTTATTTTCTGTTTGGAATCTCTCAACAGAGCCCCGAATTACTGTTTTTCCTCCACCAAACAAAAGCCTATCCACCAGCCCCATCAGCTCCCTGATCCCATTTCTGCTCAGGCCACTCTTGCCTCCTGCTATTCCTTGACCACACCAGCCCCTGCCCCAGGGCCTTTGCACTTGCCAGTTCCTCCAAGTGTATCTTCTGCCCACCAGTTACCCACAAGGCTGCTCCCCCTCGCCTCCTTTAGGCCTTTGTTCAAATGTAACTATTTAGGGGCGCCTGGGTGGCTCAGTTGGTTAAGCATCTGCCTTAGGCTCAGGTCATGATCCCAGAGTCCTGGGATCGAGTCCCGAGTCGGGCTCCTTGCTCAGCAGGGAGCCTGCTTGCTTCTCCCTCTCCCTCCCCCCCACCCCCGCTCATGCTCTCTCTCTCTCTCAAATAAATAAAAATCTTAAAAAAAAAGTAGTTATTTATTTCTTGCATGGAATGGCCCCTGCACAGATACGGATCACTGGATTGCTTTGCTCACAGCTAGCCCCAGCTTCTAGAACGGGCCTGGCACACAGCAATGTGTTTGTTGAATCTCAGACCCCAAACCTAGGAATCTGCCTCGATTCCTCACCCTTCACCACCTCTCCCCTTCATAAGCTCCACCAGCAAGTCCTGACAGCTGCCTCCAAAGCACCTCGCCAACCTGCCCACTTGTGGCCCCCAGTGCCCGCATCCAGGACCAAGCCGCCTGCCGCGCCTGGATGCTTGTCTCGGCCTCCCTGCCTCCACGCCTGCCCTCCACTCAGTGCTAAGGGATCACTGAATGACGCAGATCCGAGTGTTAACCTTCCCCTCAGCTCTCCACTGGGGTCTGCTTCCTCACCAGGGCCTAGAGGCCACCGGTGACCTGGTGTCACCCTGATCTGTAACCAGCCCCCTCCAGTTCCTAGGATGCTCTAGCTTCTCCCCGCCCACCCCCACCCCCGCTTTGCCAGGGCTGCTCTCTCTGCCTGGAATGCTCTCCCAGGATCCCTGTACACCTGCTATGGCTTCACCGGTCAGGGCTCAACTCCAAGGCCATGCCAGCAGGGCAACCTACTGGACCTTCCCAAACGTTCCTGCTGTTCCCACTTGCCATCCTGTTGCCCCGTTTTTGATTTACAGCTTTCAACCACACCTGAAGTTACCTGGAGGATATTAGCAGGTCTGCGGTCAACCTTCCCTACCAGACCATGAGCTCCTTGAGGGCAGGGACTTGGACAGTTTCTCAGGAAATAAAGGCAGGAACAGCACACTGCCAGGCAGGACACCCCTCCCAGGCCTCTCGCGAAATGGGAAGTGATCTGACAGCGCGGCCGGCATACGGGCGCCCTCCCTGCCCCCAGCCTTCAGGAAGCCCCCCCCCCACCAGACATGGCCTGTGGTGCTTTGGGCTCCTTTCCCAGCATTTCACAATGTTACATTGCGGGGGGCAGGGGCTTCCTCATCACCCCCCACTCCCTACCTTGGCTCCCAGCCACGGTCAAGCTCAGGAGAGGCACTGACCCCACACTAAGGGACACTCCCCTCCCCGGCTCTCCCCAGGGGGACTCAAACTAGCTAGTGGCTGGCTAATGCCGGAAAGGCTGCCGGGTGCCAGGCTCTGGGGGCAGCCAACCCACACGGGTCTGGATCCGACTCTGCCATTCACAAGTGGTGTGAACTTGAGCCAGTCCTTCCCCCCCTCACCAACCCCAGTTCCCTCTGTGCCTCAAACCTGCGGCCTTCTGCTAAGGACAGTAGTCTGCACAGGTGACAGGCCAGCCCGGGACCCATCCGAGGGCGCTGTCCACAGCGCGGCGCGAGTCAGGGCACGGGGAGCATGCGTCTGAGTGCGAGGCGCCCCTCGCTCCTCCGGGCTGCACCCGGACCCAGGACGCTGCGACCTCAGGTGGAGTCCCCAGGCCTCTTCCCCACCCGCACTCCTTCCCGGGGGCTCTAACTGGCGTCATGGTTTAGACGCCGTCTAGACTGTGATGACTGCCACACTGGAGTGTCAGCCCTGCTTCTCTCCTCACCGTCTACATCCTCGGGTCTCCGAGGCACCTTCGGCCTGAACAGCCTAAAACAAAGGCCCCCTCCCCATATTAGTCCATGGGCCCAGCATCCCCCCGCAGGTCCTTGGGCTGCAACCCCAGGAGTCAAAATCCCTGGTTCCTCCTTCCCTCGCCCCAACGTCCAGTTCAGGATTGAGTCCTCGGTCTGTGCCTCCGGGACACCCCGGCATCTGTCTGTCCCCAGCAACCGCCCTCCAGACAGCCCTGGCCTCCTTCCAGCAACCCCCCCCCACCCTTCTTGCTCCCGCACTCCGGGCTCCCCACCGGCAGCCAGAGAGGCCTTTAAAAAATTATGGTATAGGGCGCCTGGGTGGCTCAG